TGCAGACACCACCAAAACTTTTTGTACTTCTATGCTTGAGATCCATGCACCACAAAAGTATTGTTTATAAAACCAAGCTCTTCAAGAAATTACTACAAGTAGAATATCATAGTATGCATAAAACTTTTCCAATAGAGTTACTTATAAGAGCAGAGGGGTTCCAAGAAAATTCAACTAATGGTGGTGGACAACTAGATATCCAAATCCAAAAGAATGAATTTAGACCCCTCATCTCATACCATACACAAAAAGTAAGTCAAAATGGATCATAGACCATGAGGATTAGAGTGAATAAATAAAATGGATTCACTATAGTAAAGCTGCTAAATTACTAAAATCAAGTAGGTTGATATCTGAGGAAAAGATTCTATTCTTATTTTAACTAGCCTGGAATATTAAATTTTTGAATATTCCAGTTCTGCATCAATAGATATCAAACCTCCACTAATCCTCTGATTACCCCTGAACGTTCACCTGTCCAGACCACCTAACATACTTTATTCAGATCATCGGTTATCTAGAGCAGCGTTTTTCAACCGAGATGTTGCTTGGTGTGCCGTAGGTGCAGACAAGACAAGAATTTTATAATTTTTCACTATTTTGTTTACTTAATATTTCATAATAAAGTAATTATAAAATACTTTCTTTGTGTTTGATTCCTATTCAAGAGAATTACTTTATATATAGTCAATATAGGCACAGAGTTAAATTTTTTAACATTTTCTAATGGTGGTGTGCGTCGTGATTTTTTTCATGAAACTAGTGTGCCTTTGCCCAAAAAAGGTTGAAAAACACTGATCTAGAGGATTACAACTTGGACCAATCCAAAGACTCAGAATGCAAGATTGATTCTTCTCAAGAAGGTACTTTTTACTATAAAAACTCTCAGCTTCTCTTCCTTTTTTCAGAACATTCTGGATATTTACCTAGCTGTGTAATATCTTTGAATAAATCTTTATCATTTATTTCTAGCTAAAGCCTCCTGATTCATGTATGATTAGTCAATAACCAATATTATAAACTAAAACTATATATATATAAAATCTTAGAAGAAAATACAGGAATAATTTTTTATAAACTTAGGTTAAGCAATGTCTTCTTAGATATAGCACCAAAAGCATGAGTTACAAAAACAGAATTTGACTTTCTTGAAATTGTAATTAAATACTTTAATGTTTCAAAGGATACCATACAGAATGGGAATCCACAGAATGAGAGAAAATATTGGCAAATCATATGTCTGATAAGGAATATATAAAATATATGTATTATATACGTATAATGAATGTCCAGATTATTATGATCTCTGAATGCATAATAATCTGGCCACTCAGTGTGAGTGTGTTTGTGTGTGTGTGTGTGTATACACACACACACACACACACACACACACACACACACATATATATTTTGGAGGCCCAGTGCATGAATTCATGCATGGGTGGGGTCTGGCCAGGCTGGCCACGGGGAGAGGACATGGACAGTTGGCTGGCCTGCCTGCTGGTTGAACTTCTGGTAGAGGGGACAATTTGTATATTAGCCTTTTATTTTATAAGATATACACTGAGTGGCCAGATTATTATGCATTCATAGATCATAATAATCTCACCACTCAGTGTATATACAGAATATGTAAAAAAAAAACTATAACAACTCAGTAATAAAAGTCAAATAATTCAATTAAAAATGAGGGAAGATCCTAAAAACAATTATCCATAGATATACAGATGGCAAATAAGCACATGAAAAAATGTTCAACATCATTAGTCATCAGTGTAATGGAAATCAAAACCACAATGAGATACCACTTTACACCCATTATGATGAATACAGTAATCAAAAAGACAAAAGCCTAAGCCGGTTTGGCTCAGTGGTAGAGCGTCGGACCTGTGGACTGAAGGGTCCTAGGTTCGATTCCGGTCAGGAGCATGTACATCATCGCTCTCATCGACGTTTCTAGCTCTCTATCTCTCTCCCTCCCTCTCTGTAAAAAAATCAATAAAATATATATTTTTTAAAAGACAGAAAATAACAAATGTTGGGAAGAATACAGAAAAATTGGAACCTTTTTATACACTGCTAGTAAGAATATAAAATGGTACAATCATCACTTAGAAAACATTTTACATTTTGGCAGTTTTTAAAATAAAGTTATCACAGGATCCAGTAATTCTACTACTATGCACATGCAAAAGAGAAATTAAAACATTATGACCACAGTAAAACATGTACCAAATACTCACTACAGCATTATTCCTAGAGCCAAGAGATAGAAACAATTCAAATGTCCATCCATCAAGTGATAAATGGATAAATAAAATGTGGTATATCACACAATGGAATATTATTTGGCAATCAAAAGCAATGAAGTACTAATGCTACAACTTGGAAAAACCTTGAAATATTATGCTAAGTGGAAGAAGGCAGTCACAAAAGATCACTTATTCTATCATTCTTTTTATTTAACATGCCTAGACTAGGCAAAACTACAGAAAAGGGAAGTATATTAGTAGTTATCATTGAACAAAGGGTTGGGGAGAAATGTTAATGGGTATAAGGTTTCTTTTTGGGTGATAAAAATGTTCTCAAATTATCTGTGGTGATTTTGCACAACTCTAATATTTTACACTATAAATGAATGAAATGGATTGTATGTGATGAGAGAGAAGAAAATGAAATTGTAATCTTAAAAGCATCTAAAAATGCCCTGCTACAAAACAGGTAGCATCTTTGAAGTCTCATTTTACCTAAAAAATTATGTGAAGTGTGTACTTCATGATACAGACTTGGGTGTTTTAATGGGAAAATATTTTACACCACTTCTCATATGGGAGAAAGAAAGAAAAAAAAACAACCACAAAAACAAAAAACAATATAAGCCTCTCTCTCACATAAAATACATAAGAATCAAACTCTTTCTTCTCCAAATCTTGAGTAGAAAGGATGCTCAAGATACCTGGGCTGTTTATCCTGAGGTCAGTAATCCCGGCTTAATACCTTGCTAGGATCCAAGGGTCCCAGTCCTTGTCCCCAGAATTAAAGTACAGACAGCATGGAAACCACAAGAATCCCAGAATCTGAGCTCATTCTTAGTAGATGGGCAACCTCTGGCAGATCTAACTCCTCCTAGCTTCAATTTCCTTGTGTGTAAAATGGGGATGCATAAAGTACTACAGAACAGACCCTCAAATTTAGTTTCCTTTTATGCATTCTAGTTACAAAGCTGTTATGTTGAAGAAAAAAAAAAAAGTGCACTATGACAGGCAGATGGTATTACTGTGAAACTATAAAATAACTAAAAATAATTTAGTCTAAACCCCTTTTTACATGTGATGAGGTTGAAGGTCAATGGTGGCCCAACCTCAGAAAGCAAGTAGTATGCCCTTACGAATTTCGACAAAGTTATGAGTCTAGTAACAGCAAGTTAACAAGTCTAATAACAATCTCCAAACGATTAACGGAACTTTTCCTGCCAGATCATCTTTCATTAGCAGCACCTGTATCTATGCTTTCCAAATACTGATTCATTATAATAAGGAGCGTTAAACTATAATTAAAACATCAATGAGATCTCAAGTGGTTTTCAATGTATGAAGATCACTGTTATATTAGAAAACATTGGGAGGCATTCTGTACTTTTTCAAAGCAATAATAACAATAATAATGATGCAGGGAAAAGAAAGCAGACTCATCTAGACTATGTCCAAATATTTCCCACAGCAACCAGAAGCAGTAGGTAGTTTTCTTCAATTAATGGACAATTCTCACTGACATTCTTAGTCCAGGTGAAGCTGGGAGAGTGTAACAGTTACAAGATAAGGTGAAAGGTATTTGTCACCATTAACATGCCACCACTTCATAATACAAAAGCTTTATTCTATGCACTTCACAAGTATTTGTAATGGAACTATTAATACAGCTTTAAAATAGAATTATTGTCTATGCACACAGAAAACATAGGTGGTTTCCTTCAGATTATTATTATTATCTTCATATTCTACGGGGGTGGGGGGAGAAACATTAAGTATTCAGTAAAAGACTTTCTCAGTCTTTTTTTTTTTTTTAAAGGATTCTAAATCATTCTCCAATTTTCCCACGCACATAAAATTGTCTAGCAAATATCTTCAAAACAGCCACAATTGTATTACCTTCTACAGAATAAAATACCCCTCCATGGACTCCATGCATTTTTAATCAAAATTTCTCCAAAGCATGTTGTAGCTAACTTAAAGGGTGGAGATAGTTTATTTATTATATTAAGTGCATTTCCTTAAGCGGCCTGGAAAAGGGGAGAAAACTCATTATTATTAAAAGGAGCAGGTGACTTCCTACAGTCCTTGGCATGGCCTTCGGTGGTTCAGCAAAAACCCTTTTTGGGCTCAGCCCCGGGATGGACGCGAACCCGCCCGTCGCCAGCGGCTGGACCCCGGGCACACGCCTCGCCGCGCCGCCCTCGGCCCCCGGACGATGGAATGCCACCACCTCGCAGGTCCGCGGTGCCCGGAAAGGAAGTGTTTGTCAAGTGCTTCACAAACAGGGCCCGGCCTGCGCACGGCACTGGGTCGTCCTCTCCCTCGGCTGCGTTGGCAGGAAATTCGTTTTCCATTTGGATTTTATCATTACCGACAACCCCAACCTGATATTGGGACAGATGCCTTGTGGATGCGTTTCTTTGCCATCCAATGCCCACCCCGCCTTGGCCCAGGGCTCCCCTCGATTTCACCTTCGCCCATCTTGACCTCTCCGCTGGCCTCCAGTCAACGTCCCCCTCGCCCCCTCCGTCCCCTCCGCCCCGCGGCCCCGCCCGCCCCCAACGCACCCGCTACCTGCGGGCCACCCCGCCTCCGCCTCCGGCGCCGCCCGCGTCCCAGGATGTGGGGGGACAGGGGGGTGAGAGAGGGCGTCTCGCAGCACCTCTCCTTTCAGATCCCCCGGGGGGCTGACTGGGGTGGCACTGCCGCCCAGAACCCGCGCGCGCCAAGCCTCCCTCCCTCCCTCACCTGCCGCCGCGGCCGCTCCTTTCCAGCGCGCGGAACCGGCGCTCGAGGGTCCCGGAGCGAAGGAGACGCGCAGGGCCAGGGGCGAGGAGCAGCGCTGCCCGAGGCGCCTGTGCAGTAGCGGCCCCCCAGCCACCGCCACCGCCACCGCCACCACCGTCACCGCCGCCACCACCGCCGCCGCGGGGAGCGCCCCCACCTCCGGGAATGCGCGCCGCCGGGTGCTGCGCTGTGCGGGCCGCCGTCCGTCCGTCCGCGGCGCGACAGCGGAACAGGCTCCGAGCGGTGGGCGCAGCGGTCGAGGGAGTCTGAGTCCCGCCCTCTGATTGGATGGCGGAGCCGCCGTCAGTGTAACGGCCTTTCCGATTGGTTAGACTCAGGTACCACCTGCGACAGCTGCTTAGGTGGAGTGGCACTGGACCTCGGGGCGGAGGTGTGTTCAGTCTTGGCCACCATGGCCCTTTTAAGCCATCGAGGGCTGCGTGCCCTTCAGAGGCCCTGAAAGAAGGGAGCCCTGGCTAAGGCCAAGTCCACGCCTCATGCCACTCCCACTTGGCCCTTAGGAAAGTCTGGGGCTTAGGTGTCCCCAGGGAGAAAAAAAACAAAACAAAAAACGACTTTGGCTGCACCGGGGCCTAGGACAAATCTAAAGCAGCATCAGCCAGTCCCGGTGAGTGGAGATAAACACATTGTGAGTACTACCATAGCAATATCTGTCTTAACATACAGGGGAGCACCTTTACACGAAGTTGAATGGCAGGCAGTTTACCGGTCAAGTGACAGGAAACACGGAAACATAGTCCTTGCAGGGAATTAGACTAATTAGGGAATCAGTCATCGGTACCAGCAAAGAAATGGGCACTTCCTTAGACAGCCGCATGGGGGATTGTGCTAATCCCTGTAGTTGGAAGTTTAGGCAAACAGTCAATGTAACTTGAAGCTTACTACTGGAAACAGAAATTAGCAAACAGAACTACCGTAGATTTTTCTTAACACTTGGGTTACCCCAGTATGGTGGGCAAAGAGCAGATAGAATCTTTTGTAACTGCAGTGCCAAGTGCAGAAGCTGGCATAGAAAAAGTACTTACTAAGTGATTGTTGAGTTTAATGGGGCGGTTTAAGGGGCTCTGTCTTCTAGTATTGGAAATAATGTATCCTATGTGATCAGACCTGGCCCTAAGCGGATCTGCCTCGTGCTAGATCGTAGTCTGTGGGGTCTTGACTTTGTGAAGAAAAGATTTCACAACATTAGTCCAGGTGACTACGAGGGTACCTTTATGGAAGCTGGGACAGTGAAACAAAGAAGGCCTTAGCGGAGAAGCAGCAACAGGATAGCCTAGGCTGGGCTGCTTTGGCTCCCTGGGAAGTCAGAGAAAAGAGGGGCTTGTAGAGAGGTTTAGGGGGTTAGCCTGGGACAGGCTGCTGCTACCCATTGCTGGCCTGGTTTCAAGTCTTTTGGGGTTCCTGAGAGTTTAGGAGACACATAACTATGCGGAAAGAAGAGAGGGAAGAGAGAGAAGGGAAAGGTGCAGGCATGCTCTCCAGAGGAAGAGGGAGTGCTGGGTCTTTTGTCTTGAGGGGCTTTATCTCTCGTAGGCAGGAATCTTAGGGGGAGGTTTCACCAGAGTGTTTCAATAGAATATTCATTGATAGATGAAATAGAGAAGGGGGCCGGAGACTGGGATGCCAGGACACAAGCTTTATTGGAGAGAAGAGTAACACTGCAGGCTGCTGAGAGAGAGAGAGAGAGAGAGAGAGAGAGAGAGAGAGAGAGAGAGAGAGAGAGAGAGAGAGAGAATGAGCAGAAGAGCGCAAGGGCCGGGGTACAAGCACCTTTAAGGATAGGGGACGGGGCTTAGGGCACTTAGCACACGCTGATTGGTGGTTTCATGTAAGGCCTATGATTAGGGACCTAGGGACTTAGGAATGGGGGTTTAGGGTGTTTGGCAGGTGCTGATTGGTGGTTCAATACCCAGGGATGTCCGGCTGAGGTGGAGTTTATGTCTCAGCTGGAGGAAGGGAGGATCTTTCATTCATCAGTTTTTCAAAGGTACTTTTTCATGGTCCCGGTCTCTGCTGATTGGTTAGCACCAGGGCAGGATATCATTACTCAAGGCAGCTTGTCCTGAGGCTGCCACGGCATCACTTACCTGGATTTGCTGCTCTTTCGGACCTGGAGTTGAAATACAATGGAGGTCCAGATAAATCTTTAGGGAGGAAAGGTGGGGGGGGAGGGTAGAGGGAGGAGTGCAAACCACATGACCAGTGATATGCTAGGGAGGAGGGGCAAGGTCCTTGTTCTCCCTCGTTCTCCTGTTGCCAAGACTTTCCACTTTGGTGACCTTCTGTACTTGGCCCATTGTCCTTGCTGTGCTCATGTCTGTCTAACTGCCTACCATATCTGGACTATTAACCTGCAATAGTGGACCTTAGACGTTGTGGGGGTCCAGAAGAGTCACCCACATATGCCTCTGTGGTATGCAGATTGTCTTTGAGCTATTGAACTAAAGGCAATTTTAGCCGTCAGATTCAGGAGAAACTTCTGCCCCACCCCCTCCCTTAACTGCCTAAAGGGCCTTGCCCAATAAGACATTATCAGCAATAACCTTTTCAACCACCTTTATAGTCTAGCCGAATAAACTTTGATTTATTAAACATCTGCTCTTCTAATCATACTGCAGTGACTCTTTGCAATCCCGAAGGTGCTTACTTCATCAGAATGTCTTATATACCTCAGTCCTCCTTTCTGTCTCTGAACCTCCAGTGCATATGGGGATCTCTGAACCTATCATCTATGCAGGGTTCCCATACACATGTATGTATTAAATTTTGGTTATATTCTTTTGCTAATTTATATCATGACTGATTATTAGACCAGCCAGAAGATCCTTCGGGTTCTGAGGTTGGCCCCATGGGTGTTTAGAGTATAACCATCACCAAGACCTGAAGGTCTGGAGACAGCTGCAGGAACAGTGTGGGGCTAGATACATTCTCTTGATTATTAGTTTGTGATAAATCCTCCCTTCCTCCAGTTGATGGACAGACGTAAACCCCACCTGCGGCCAGACATTCGTGAGCTCTGAACCACCAATCAGCACCTGCCAAATCCCCTAGGCCCCCCCATTTCTAAATCCCTAGGTCCCTAATCCTCAATCAGCTTGTGCTGAGTGCCCTAAGCCCCGCCCCCTATCCTTAAAAGTGCTTGTAACCCTGGCGCTCGCTCTCTTCCGCCCCTCTCTGTGGAAGCAGCCGGCAGGGGTACTCTTCCCTCTAATAAAGCCCGTGTGTGTCCTGCCATCCGTCTCTGGTTACCTTCTCTATTTAATGTATCACTTTGTACCTTCATAAATTAATTACATGTCAAACCTCAAGGCTGGCCTGGGCATTGCTGATTTGGGGGACCTTGGATTCCCAGGCTGTCACAACTGGAAGGCCTGGCAGAGGCCACGTGGTTCGGTCCCTGGTATCCGCCAGATCTTGGGTCAGTGTGTCGACCTACTTGAGCCTCTATTTCTCTCTTAAAAAAAATTAAAAAAAAAAAAATAAATAAATAAATATATATATATATATATATATATATATATATATATATATATATTATTGATTTTTTTACAGAGAGGAAGGGAGAGAGAGAGAGAGCTAGAAACATTGATGAGAGAGAAACATCAACCAGCTGCCTCTTGCACACCCCCTACTGGGGATGTGCCCACAACCCAGGTACATGCCCTTGACCGGAATCGAACCTGGGACCTTTGAGCCTCTATTTCTCATCTCTTATAGTATCAACCTCTTAGAGTTCATGTCAAGTAAATGAAATGGGATAAAGCAAGTAAAGTATTCAGCCCCGTGTGTGACTTGGAAAATGGTAGTGATTATTATCACTAGGAAATGTTCCCCAATCTGAACAGTGATCAGAGGAAGGCTTGTGACAGGGTGAGATGCTTCCTCTCTCTGAAGGCCTTCAGGCTAATAGCTTCCTGCTATAGATATGCTAATTAACTAGCGGAAATCTGCTTGAGACCTAGCCTGAGCAGCCTCTTTGTCAGCAAAGGAAGGGTAATGGCAGGGTAGGGGAAAGATACACACAAGTAATCAAGTAATGACTCCAGAACCAGACTCTCAAATGGGGATGGGGGGAACCTTGAACAAAAGATTTTAGAAATTTTGCACTTTTCCTTGTGAAAGGAATTTTAGGGATAAAATAGGCAGGTTTAGGGAGTTTTAGGAATAAAGGGTCCATAGGGGAGGAATGTATAGGTGAGGGCTTGGAGTCATCAGAAGGCATACATTCACAGAGAATTTAAAAAGGTGCCACAGGATAAGGGGAGAGGTAGACATACATTCACAGAAGATAAGGAAAAGCCACAGAGTATATGGGGGGGGGGGGGGGGGAAGGAAACAAACTTTCACAGAGGATAAAGAAATATCTACAAATGGCAGAAAAAATGATAACAGATTTTCACAGGAGATAGAGAAATGTTACAAAATAAGGGGATGGGGGTGAAAGTGAGGGGGGCATCCATGGGTTTGGGTTTTGAAGCTCTTCTGCAAAAAGAGTGACCAATTAGAAGACCATAGGATCATGGGGGAAGGGGCCCAATTACAAGAGAGCATGAAGAGACAAAGAACTGCATCATTAATAAACCTTGGCAAAAAAAGAGCTTAGTGGGTTACCCCCTTGGGACAAACTCCCTATGTGGGTGTTTGTATTTGAGTCCAATAAATTTCCATCCTTTTGACCTGTCACTTCTTGTTCATGACTTCATTCTTCCTTCGAATGCAACTGGACAAGGACCCAGGAAAGAAATCACCCTTGCCTCCTGCTCAGGAAAACAACCGAATCACTTGGACCCCTTTTTGGAGGCTGTTTACAGTCCCCACCCACCTCTTCACCTCACCCACCCTCCCTTCCCTTGATCGATAAGACTGCATTTTGAGCTCTCAGAAGAAGATGGATTTGAGACTTAATTCTCTCATATTCTTGAGCTAGTCTGGCACATGAACCTTGTGCCTGTAACAGACCGAGTTCTAAGGGAAATTACATATTGTCCAATTTAGTGAAGAAAATATTCGGGCATTTGGGGCATGCACCTGTGAAAGAAAAAAGCTACATGCTAACCTGACAAGCTCAGGGAAG